TTGGCGGACCCTGGCATAACACATTTCAGTTGTCCCACAGCTCATGCAGGTGCAGTGAATAAGCACATCTTGCCTTAATGCCCAGTCTACCTCAAAGGGTTGCTGAAAGTATAGGAAAGGGGGTAAACACTGCTCTGTGACCCTAGAAGGAAGATAAAACTTCTATTATGATGTCAGCCACACTCAGGGTCTACCTAGCGTACAACTTAGTTTATGTATTTATTTCAGATATTTATATACAACTTAACATTAAGAATCTCTAAGCAGTGTAGATAATAAAAAAGAGAATAAGAACAATTAAAATTCATCCTAAAAGCTACAAAACTTAAAGATGCCTGCTGAAATAAGGAAGTTTTTGTTCGTGCCTGAAGTTCAGCAAGGAGGGTGCCTGTCAAATCTAGGGAGGCAGCTTTGGAGATCACCCAAAGCCCTTTTGGCTACAGCCACAAAACTATCTGTGTTCTTCCTTGAACCTGTTTGAGAGGACAATAAAGACGTTTGCACTCCCTCAAGCATTTGGGATTTAGCCGGGAACATGATTTCAGTTGCTTCCTGGTGGCGTGGCAGTAACAGGGGTGGATAGGAAGCCTATCTGCCACAAATTTCTCCCTATGCACCCTTGCTAAGCCATAGTTTAGGCTCAGTGCTTTGTGAGAAATCAGACCATTAACACTTAAAACCATGGTTTGTTTTACTAACCACGGTGAAATGTTGCCCATGGTTTGTTTCACTAACCATGGTGAAATGTTGTGTCAATATACCTACACTGAGAATTAAGGACTGGCCACAAACCAGCTGGTGAAATGGGCCTGGAGCAAACTTGCAAAGCAGGTTAGGAATTAATCTGTACTAAACAAGCCACAGTTGTGTCAGCTCCCCTGGCTCCATGTCTGGATTAACCAAGATTAAAAGACATCCAACTGTGGCTAATGCTAACTATGCTTAAGTGTGATGGGTGCTCTGGGCTACTGTCCCTGCACCATTGCAAAAAAGTAGTGGGGGGTTGATGCTGTTAAATATGCTGTTGTAAGACAACCTGGGCCAGCTCCTAGGAACAGAGGAAGCTGCCTTATTCTGAGTCAGACTGTTGGTCCATCCAGCTAAATATTTCTACGCAAACAGCCCTCCAGGATTTCTGGCAGGAGTCCCTCCCAGCCCTACCTGGAAATGCCGCCTGGGACCTTCTGCTTAAAGGCAGATCCTCTACCACTAAACTATGGCCCTTCCCCACAGCAGAAGTCAACCACCTACGATATAAATGCAGCATGAGCATGCAAATCAGTTCCAATAATTCATGCCCTGGGGGGAAAGAGTCACAAGACAGGTGCAGCTGGAGTCTTGACGCCACAACTTCATTTAAAAGGGTTCCCTAAAGGACAAGGAGTGACTTGCATCAGGATAATATTGTAATCTAGGCTAGTGACAGACTAGCAAGCAAATGCAGCTCTCCCTGACAGAGCTTATTCCCTCCCCCTTCTCCTTGCAGTGCTTTTATTGTACCCTATGTCTGCACGCCAAGACAGGGACTCCAAAGACAGGGGTGCATCTTTTTAAAAAATCAGAACAATGTGACCATCCTTCTAAGCAGGACAAGGGAGGGGAAGTCAAATCGCGTGCAGCCAAGGCACGAACCAGCAAGGTCTACATGGTGTCACAAGCAGCAGTGACAGCCACCAACTTGGATGGCTTTAAAAGAGGGTTAAAGAGATTCCTGGAGGAGAAGGCTATCAGCAGGCTTCTGGCCACACTGGCTTTGCTCTGAGCCAGGGTTGGAGGCAGCAGGCTTCTGAATACCAGTTGCTGGGAAATAATAATAATTTATTATTTCTATCCTGCCCATCTGGCTGGGTTTCCCCAGCCACTCTGGGCAGCTTCCAACAAAAGATTAAAAATACATTAAAACATCAGTCATTAAAAACTTCCCTAAACAGGGCTGCCTTCAGATGTCTTCTGAATGTCATATAGTTGTTCATTTTTTTGACGTCTGATGGGAGGGTGTTCCACAGGGAAACAGAAGTGGAAAGAGTTGCTGTTGCACTCAGTTACAGATAGGTAGCCGTGTTGGTCTGCCATAGTCAAAACAAAAAAAATTCCTTCCAGTAGCACCTTAAAGACCAACTAAGTTAGTTCTTGGTATGAGCTTTCCTGCTTGCTGGCTTCTCTATAGGCATTTGATTGGCTACTGTGAGAACAGGATGCTGGACTAGATGGGGCATGGACCGGATCCAGCAGGTCTCTTTCAGTGTGCTTATGGAACCTCCAGGTCCAAGGGCAGTCTATCTAGATTCCTAGGTTCTTTGCGGTATTGGCCGTTGTGAGATCAGGATGCTAGGCTACATGGGCCCCCTCTGGCCTCATCCAGCTGCAGGGCTCTTCTTAGATTCTGGCAGGCTCTAAAAACCTAACATTTACTGGTTTCTCGCCAAACCGGCTTCTGTTTATTGTGGACTCAGTCAAGACAAAGGTTCTCTCTCGCTCACTACAAATGCCTCAGTACAATATAACAGAAGGTTGGCAACTGCATGGCAAGAGCTCCAATGGTCTAGCAGTTCTGAAGAGTAGTCCTGGGCAGCAGCGATCCTGTGATATGACTCGCAACTTCCACCCTCTTTTGAGGTGGGAGGTGTATGTCACTAGACCTGATCAGTGGCAAAAGCTTCGACAAGTATCTGTAGAAAGCTGTGCAAATGAGCAATTCCAAACCGGTTTACCTCAATAATTGCTAACCAAGGACTGCCCAGGTGCGGGTCTGACACACCTTTGGACAGAGGATTTTCTGCAAAAAAGGAAGAGAACTGAAACCAATGTATAAATGGTAAAGATACCAGTTGGATCAGTCCGGAACTGGTTTTAAAATGCACTCCTCCTACTCCATCATGGACACTGCCCTCTAATAAATTTCTGCTAAAAGAAAGAAAGAAAAGAGTCCTGGCAAAGTCAGTTATATCCTTTGTGAAAAATCACAGTCATAGAATGGTAGAGCTGGAAGGGATCCCAAAGGTCATCTATTCCAATCCCTTGTAATGCACGAATCACAGCTACGTTGTCAGAACTAGAATCTGTCCACAAGCTTGATTCAATTCGTTTACGGACACTGCTGAAACCAAGCTTCTCTGACTTGCAACGGGTACCAATTGAATGTAGCTGGTTGTCTCCTTGGTGCTGTTTGGCAACCTTCTGGAGTTTTATTAGTTAGTTTTGAATTTCTGCTTTACAATGTTATTTATTTCATTTGTATTTTGACAGCTGCCCAGGGTTGTTGTTTTGGCACAATAACACAGGATATTTATTTTAAAATCAACAACCACAAATACATAAATATGAAGAGATTCTGTTCTATCACCAATAACTACTGGAATCAATGGCCACAATGCTTACCCTGTAGATACGTAAACTTTTCAGATTGAACGGATCACATTTTATGGCCTTTTCACACACACTGCACATATATTTTGCTAACTTCATGCACCTCACAAAATCTTATGCCATAATAAATGGGGAGCCATTAAAGACTATCAAGAAACTCTCTTTTTCTGGTGGGATATAATGGAGCAGGGGATATAAGGATATCCAACATTCTTGGCCAGAACAAGGGGAGAGAATCTGGCAAAATGTTTGCCAACGTGCATACAGACGCTTATTATGCCCAGCCTTTTCTGTTCACAATAAGAGACTGGCTCAGATCAACTAAATCCCACCACTGGTAAACACTGGCAATCTGGCTCTCGCCACACCCCTCCACTGTCTTCGCTCTGGCTCCTCAAATTTCATACAAGAACTGCCCACACGTCTCTGGCTTATCTTAACCACTACGGCAGTGCAGTGTAGTGGTCAGAGTATCAAACTAGAACTGAGAAGACGCAGATTCTAACACTACACTCAGCACAGGGTCCATCAGCATCTCTCATCCTAACCTACCTCATAGGGTGCAGTGTGGGTAAAAACAGGAGGGAGCTAACTGAAAGAAAAGTCAGATATAAATGTAATAAATAAGAAACTGCCTTATACCAAATCAGGCCGCAGGTCTGTTTAGCCAGGATTGGACCTGGATCCTTCTGTGATCGAAGCAGATGCTTTGCCTTCAAAGCAGATCCTCTACCACTGTCCCTGAACAATAAGGTTCTGGTCCTCATGGTTCTGAAGAAAGGGCTAATTTTAAAAAGGAAGCTGCCTTATCCAGAGTCAGGCTATTGGTTTGCCTACCTCAGCATTGTCTACACTGACTGGCAGCAGTTCTCCAAGGTTTCGGAAAGGAGGTCTCTCCCAGCCCTACCTGAAGATGCCAGGGATGGAAGCAGGGACCTTCTACATGCAGGCAGAAGCTGTACCACTAAACTACAACCCTTCTCCCATAAATAATCTCATGCAGAAGAGAAAGTGGTGCATATTGAAGACACAACTCTCCACCCTGACCTTTGACAGGCAAGCTGTCTTGCTTAATTTCTACTGTCCTGTTTAGGATGGTGTGGTTTTATTTGTCTTTATAAATGCACACCATTTTGCTGTAAACCACGCTGGGACCTTATGGTGAATGGGTGGGTAAGAAATCTTACAAATAAGATAAATAGTAATAAAAACCTTCTCAGGACATACATGCTGGCTTGCTCTCCCCAGGGAATCTCAGATTTCTTCTCCTCTAGATCCCCAGCTGACTGTGCAGTTAAGGAGTCACTGAGCTACCTTCTGCCAGTCAATAGCAGTTAGGTGTGCTTGACTAGGACCTGGGAGATCAGGGTTCAAATTCTGACTCAGCCAGAAGGCTCATTGGGCGACCCTGGGCTGCTGACTGTCTTGCGACCTGGCCTTCCTTGCAGGGTGGTTGCGAGGGTAAAACGGGGTACAGCTCTTTACCCTGGCCTTTGACACCTGAGATGTGCCTGCCCTGTTCCTGCAACTGCAACCTGCTCTGTTTTTAAATTCTGAATTTTAAATTGTTGTACCCCTCCTTGGGAGCTGCTGCTGAAGGGCGGTTAATCAATGCAACAACAAGGCTTTTGTACCTCTTTATCCTTCAAGCCGAGGAGCAGCACCTCCTCCATGAGGGTGAGGCGGATGTCTTTGGAGTCTCCGGAGTCTTCCTCGCCCAAATTCTTGTCTGGTATGGAGTCCTCCTCACCCTCCAGTCGCTTGTCAACGTTTCGCCCGACATCTGCGCGCCGCCCCCGGTGAATTAACGTCGTCATGGTCTCTCTGCCGTGCCTAGGAACAGAGAGAGAAGGGGGGGGAGATATATATGTATCTCCTGCAAATAGTTCTTTGCGATGCTCCCGGTTTCTAGGGGAAAGGCCGCAGTTTGGGGTCAGAGGAACTGCTCTGCCAACAGAAAAGCCCAGGTTCAGTCTCCAACATCTCCAGGTAGGGCTGGAAATTACTTTCTCTCTGAAACCCCACGCTGCCAGTCAGTGTAGACAATAATGAGCTGGATGGACTGATTGTCTGACTAGGTATAAGAAAGATTCCTATGCATTTAAGTATTCAGAATAAGGAGGGCTGGGATCTCACTGCATGGTTAGGGGAAGGGTTGCAGCTGAAAGCCAGAAGATCTGGCTTGTGCGGAAGGTCCCAGGTTCAACCAGTGGAAAAGTACAGCTGACAGTGTCCACAACCTTGGAGAGTCGTGGCCAGTCTAAAATGAGCTAAATTTAAAATTCAATATCAAAAGCTACTGAAAGCAAATAACAGACACAGGAATAGCGTTCATACTAAACCACCGTCTTGCAAAACATCCTCAGGCAAACCCCTCGTTTTTCAGCATTCCTAACTGTCTGCAGCAAAGATAACATAAGGATATGCCATTATTAAGACAGGCAATATAAAATAAAAATAATCTACAGCAGCAATTTTACAAATGACAAAGCTGCCCTGCTAACTGAGCCAGTGTGGTGTAGTGGTTAGAGTCTTGGACTAGGGCCTGGGAGAGACCTGGGTTCAAATCTCCACTCGGCCATGAAGCTGCGTGTGACCTTGGGGGGACAGGTACTGTTTCTCAGCCTAACCTGCCTCAAAGGGTTGTTATGGGATTCATGGGGGGGGGGGGAGGAGCCTTTAGCTCCTTGGAGGAATAAGGTGGGACATAAATGCAATAAATAAATAAAATAAATGAACAACCATGCCTGTTCAGAACATCTACTGAATTGAAGGGGGCTTATTCTCAGGTAAGTTGGGTTAGTGTTGCAAACTTTCTGGGAGAAGTATATACTGACGTCTACTGCTGAGTAAACATAGATAGCATAAGGTTGCACACATGCCTGATTTTTCTTTAAATTTCCCCATAAAACCACTGCTTCTGCTTGGCACAAACTAGACACGAGGTGGGTAGGTAACACCACATCCTGTGCCTCCCGCAGCTAAAGAAATGTAGCCTTTTCTGACCCACAAATTAAACTGAGTGGTGCACGTGAGACTTCACACTTTTAACACGTCATTCATTGCAACAATTTGCATACCACTTAATCACAAAATCAAAATCCAATCAAAAACCCAGCTGGAATAATAATGCTTAAAAAATTCTTCGGTTTTGCTGCATTGAGGTATCACCTTTCCCTTCAAGATGCTCAAGGTGGCCTATGCACAACTCTCCCCACTCTTTGTCTTATTGTGACAACAACCCTGTGAAGTAAGCCAAGCTGAGAGGTGGCGACTTTGCCCAGGGAGCTTCAAAGCTGTGGGCTGGGGACCTCCCCTAGGCCCTAGCCCAGGACTCAAACCTCTACTGTTTCAAACTGCAGCTAAACAGGTACAGGTTATATTTAGCTGCCTGGTTATATTTCGGTATGCATTTATGAGAACCAATACAATCACTTAACTAAATAAAAATTTAAAAGGAACAGAGGCGTGGGGCCGAAGAAGCAAGGAAGGGATTGGAAGCGTAAGCAGCCACCTCTCTCTCGAACACGTTGCAAACAGGTCATTTTAAGAAGAGACGCAGCTATTAAGATTACATTTTATACCCTCTTTAAAATAGGGTGTTAAGATTAAACTCAAAGCGGCTTGTAGCCTAAACAACGAAGCAAACACAGCAGCATAATCAAGATTTATCAAGCGCACCACCATAATCAGGATTAGGGTTCCCCCTCTTAATTCCTAGATGTGGGGCAGAAACCCACTGCCTTCGCCCACCTCTTAAAATGTACACATTAAAACGAAGGGGGGGGGTCCTTTATGCACCCAAGGGTGCCAAGGCTTTAATCGCGCCTAGAAAGTCCTTTCCCAGACTCACCTGTAAAAATGCCCTGTTCTCCCCTCCTCCTCCTCCTCCTCCACCTATTGCTCAAGTTGCTGGCTTGCTTCTTAATGGGAAAACTGGGGAATCCTAAGCCGAGCAAACTTTACTTCCTGGTTCATCGGCAAAAAGGAAGGGGGAGGAGGAGAAAGGGAAAGGAGGGGGGGGAATATACACCCCCAGCACATCAGCTTCCTGGTTTCCCTGGGAAACCTACCCTGGTGTGTATGCAAAGGGCAAATGAAAAGACCTGCTGCAAAGGGATTCACCAATAGGCTCCTTGGGAAGGCGGGTTTTACGCCTCTCTTTGTTTCAACAGACAAACTTGCAAAAAAAGAGGGGGGGCACGATTAATTAAGTAAAAAAAGATGGGAGGAGCTAGTGGGATTGACAGCAGAGGGGAACCAATGGAGAGGGGGAGAGCGCGGCTGGCTTTCCAAGGCCAAGGAACCAATGGTCTTTTTGCACACACATGCACAACATTGGTGTGCACCACGGGAAAGGAGGAGGTGTGTCCAAGGAAAGGTGTTAAGGCGCCTGCGCAGATGTTTGCATGCCGGGTTAGGGATTGCAAGATTTTTTTGGGGGGGGGTTGCATCCAGGTCCTGCGCGAGATTACTCGGGAGTAAATCCCCCTCCCTGAATGCAAGGAGTGAAGGCTTCTCCCTCCTTCCCTCTTTTTCCCTCTTCATCAAGTTTGCATGGGATGGAAGGTTTTGCAGGCTGCGCCCGGTGCATGTTGTGTCCACCTTTCCTCTACCCTCCCCCCCACTGTTTTCCTTTTGCATAATAGTAATAATAATAATAATTTATACCCCGCCCTCCCCAGCCAAGACCGGGCTCAAGGCGGCTAACAATAATAAAAACAAGTTGATTAAAATACAATTTTAAAAGATTAAAATACAACATTAAAGCATTAGGATGCAGCCTCTTCACAGGAGGAGAAAGGAAAAAGAAAGAGGGGGAGGGAATCAAACTGATTCTAAGCCAAAGGCTCTGTCTTACAGGCCCTGCGGAAGGAAATCAGGTCCTGCAGGGCCCCGGTCTCATGAGACAGAGCGTTCCACCGGGCCGGAGCCATCACTGAAAAGGCCCTGGCTCTGGTTGAGGCTAATTTGACTTCCTTAGGGCCTGGGACCTTTAGGGTGTTGCTATTTATGGACCTTAAGGTCCTCCGTGGGGCATACCAGGAGGGGCAGTCCCGTAGGTACGAGGATCCTCGGCTGTGTATCGTGTCAAACCATTGGCCCGTCTAGCCCCATATGGTCTACACTGACTGGCAGCAGATTTCCAGGGTTTAAGGAAGTGGTTTTCTCCTAGCCCTATGCGGAGAAGTGATTGGACCCAGGACCAGTGTCCCACTGACTTTTGGCCCTTAAAAAATAAAGTAAAATTTCACTTCTGATGAAGGGCTGGTTTCGGGGTTTCAAATTTGGAGACATTCCCGGCCCACCTGGAGATGCTGGCGAATCAGCTACAGCTTATGCTTCCCTTGTAAACCTTCCCTGTTTATATTCAGACATAAGTTTTGAAAAACCAAAAGAAGACTTTTAGAAGACATCTGAAGGCAGCCCTGTTTAGGGAAGCTTTTAATGTTTGATGTATCACAGTATTTTAATATTCTTTTGGAAGCCGCCCAGAGTGGCTGGGGAAGCCCAGCCAGATGGGCGGGGTATAAATATTAAATTATTATTATTATTATTATAACAAAACCCCTGAAGGCGTAAGGCGGGAGAGGGCGGACTTTTGGACTCGGCAGATCTCCTTTTGCTTCCACCTGAACCTCAAGATCCAACAGCTAAAGCCACCTGTCAGGGATTCTTTTAGCCAGGATTCCTGCATTGTACGGGGTTGGACTGAATGACCCTTGGGGTGCCCTTCCGATTTCTGGGATGCAAAATGAGAGAATGGATCTCGCAATCCCAGTTTAACCGCTTCTCTGCTTTATTTAAAGCCACCTAACTGAGTGTCTCTTCCTTCTTGCCCTATTTATTCCATTGATAATAAAATTTATATCCTGCCTCTCGCCGCCACTCAGGGTTCCGCGTGGGGTGGAACAATTTAAAGCACCCGTTTTAAAAAAGCTTTTGTTGAACCATTTGGGGGTCAGCCAGCGACCCTTGCAGATCGACCCGCGGGTGGCCATGAGATCTCGCAGTGGATCCTGATCCACTTTCTGCCGCAGGGATATATTTCCCCAAGAGAATATGCTTGTTCTGGGCTGACAGCTGTGTCCCTAGGAAAGCATGTTCTCCAGTCCCCACTTTAAAGACTGCAAACAAGAACAACACAATTACTGTATATGTTAAATTAAGATTTCCTGATATTTTTGCCTCCTCGTTTGCTATTCTCATGCCCGTTCGCCCGTCTTGGAGAACCCACTAGCTCTCTGCTGCTTCAGGGATCCCCCTTTCCCCTCAGAACAGCCCCTGCAAAGCAGTAATAAAATGGGAGGTCAAGCTCAACCAGTAGATTTCGTAGCTGGAGTGGAGATTTGAACTCGGGTCTCCTTTTCTTTTTTAAACGGATTTTGGTATTTTTATATTGCCTGTCAGGCCCAAAGTAGTTCAGAATGGAAAGTGTACAAACATGTTGAAGCATAAAACAGTAGCCATCTATCAAGGCATAGGTGAAACAGCGGCAGTTAAAACGACAAATTAGCAAGCCTTGTACTTTGTTTTTTCTTGCACACACATGTGTGAGTGTGTTTGTCGTATTTTTCCGTGTATAAGACTTGGGGTTTTTTTTTAACCAAAAATTAGTTTTAAAATTGGGGCTCCTCTTATATACGGGTAGTGCTGGGGGTGTTTTCTTAATTTGGAGTCCCCCCAAATAGGGGGCATCTTATACACGGAAAAATACGGGTGGGTGTGGGTGTGTATATCTATATATATATATAGATATATAGATATAGATATAGATATATGTGTGTGTGTGTACACACACACACAAACAGGCCATAATTTGCTCTTCCATTTCCCTCTCCTCCATTAGAGCCTTTTGAATTTTAAAGCCTTCTGGTGAGGCTCTTTCGTTTATACTGACATGAGCTTCTTTGAGAGGCAATAATCCCATTTTATTATTTTTACGCAGTACTGTATAGAAATTGTTTGTTATAAATATAAGTCACTTTGAGGTCACCTATAACAGAAAACACTCAATAAGTGGATACAGAAATGTGGCCAAATTTTTCTCCTCAGGAACTTCTGCTGGGCCTGAGAGCCTGTGGATTTATACTGTCATGTCTGAGGAGGAGCAGACATGACAGTCCCTCTGAAACTGCTTTTTGATATGCTAACAGGGCAGCCTTCCTTCTTTTTTGACTAGGGCCTGGGAGACCTGGGTTCAAATCCCCACCTGGCCATAAAGATAACTAGCTGACAGGGTTGTTGTGGAGGATAAAGGGGGGGCGGGGGAGAGACAAAATGTATGCCATTTTGAGTTCCTTGGAGGAAAGGCAGGATATAATATATGAATACATATTTATAAATATATAATATATAAATATAATAAATAAGATATTGTGTGGTGCCTAATGATCCAGAGACCCCCCGCTTTATGCTTTGTTCCTCAAAATGGTTTATGAACGGTTGAGATTTTGACAAGGACTAGCACTTTTTGTACGATTTGACGTTCCTTTTATCACTAATACTGCAGAACCATCATTTTCAAAGACAACCACTGTCACACGCCTGGCAAATCTGGAACTAGACTTGGCAGCCAAATAGTGCAAAACCGTATTTCTTTCTTTATGCGAAGACTGTTATTTTCCTTTCCTTTCACGACCTGGACTTTGTTACTTAATCCATACGTGACTGCAATTCTTCTACATGCCTATTCTATGGTGTTGGTTTGGTTTACATCTGTTATTAGAAATATTCTCTCCGATTGATGTACGTCATAAAATGAAATTAATTTTTTTTTTACAAAAGGAGAAGATATCTATTCCTGAGAGGAATGGCCCCTAGTCTCAGGAGCTGCTTGCTCGGGTCAAGAGACAGGGAGCCATTGTCCCTTCTCCATTTTGTTTCTGTGCTTCCGACGCCGGCGCCTCAGCGCAGCCCTTTGGCTTTGACTGTTTTATGGCTTATTAATTTATATACCGCTTAAAACCAAAATAGGCTTCTTGCCACATTACGGCCTGATAAAAGAGAAAGAGGGGAACTGGCCACCTTCCTTCAGCCTGCCTGGGCTGTCACTGTGAGGAGAGGGAAGGGCCGGTAACCCTGCTAAGGTTTATTTTTTAAAAGGCGGGAAAATAAGAAAGGCTTTCAGGGTCTTATTTGATAACCCCTTCCTTCACTGTCTTCTTGGTCGCTGCCGGAAGCCATCTTTACCAAGGCCGTTGGCACATTTGAGACGCATGTTTTTCAGGACCCACCCTATTCCCGTGACCTTAATTTGGCTGAACTGTTTTTAATTTCATAATTTTTAATTGTCGCAACCTGCCCTGGGACTTGCTGGGGAAGGGCGGGTAACAATTATAATAATTTTGTGGCCGCTGAGGAGATGACAAAGATGGCGCTGGCCCTCCAAATTGACCACAAATTGTGCCGTACATATAAAGCGCTATTATACTAAATAATAATAATAATTTTTTATATCCTGCCCATCTGGCTGGGTTTCCCCAGCCACTCTTCCAACAGAAGATTAAAAATACATTAAAACATCAGTCATAAAAAACTTCCCTAAACAGGGCTGCCTTCAGATGTCTTCTAAATGTCAGATAGTTGTTTATTTCTTTGATATCTGATGGGAGGGCGTTCCACAGGGTGGGCGCCACTATCTTTAAAAGTCTTGGCTTTCACCAGCCAAATAATCCTGGGAATTGTAGTTTATTAAGGGTGCTGAGAGTTGTTAGGGAAACCCCCACCCCAATTCCCCTCACAGAAATACAATTTACAGAGTGGTTTAACAACCAATCCCTCTTCCCAGGGAACTCTGGAAATGGTAGCTCTGTCAGGGGACAAGGGAGACTGAGGAAAGGCTGAAGGAACATTCATCCCAGAGAAGACGCAGAGTCCATGGATAAATTGGCAATAAGATGCTTCAGGTTACCAGACAGGATGTCACAAAGATGAGGACCAAATCTCGTTTTCCGCTGCTGCAGAAAATGACATATAATGGGCTGAAGTTATAGGAAGGATTAACTGCAGTTGAACACTGGGAGAATTGTACGAACAGGAAGAAGAGTTTGTTTGTTGTTGTTTTTTAAAATAATATTTATTAAAGTTTCAAACAAAATTACAATAATACAGGAAAAGTAAGAAAAAGAAAAAAGAAAATACAAAAAACAGAAAAAATAGAATAACAATTAAAAACAAATCAGTCTTTCCATATCTTGTCTTTCATTTACTTGTTTCCCTGACCTCCTCACACCTCCCCTTTTTGCATTCCAGTTCAGTTAGTTAATTCAGCAAATCCTTTCCCTCTTTGTTTTTATCTTAATCCTTTATCTTAATATAGTACTACTTCAAGTTCACATCTATTAACAATCCATTTTTACATAGACCTTTATAACATTGCTGCTAAGACCACTTAACTTCATTATCAAGAGGACAGGTGCACATTCAGGTTGAGGAAACGCTTGCAAGCTTGTGCATGA